GCTGCTCTTACCAACACACTGTGCCCCTGCAGAGGAAGTCTGGCCCAGCCCAGCGAGACTGGTGCGCGGGTGGGGTCCCCAAGTAGGTGAGTCTGGCTCACGTTGGGGTTCAGTAGTAGGAAGCCCACTTCCCTGCAGACATGAGCTATACTGTCTCACATCAGCTTTATGAGGGATAAAGGTGATGTCTGGCATCTACCTGCTGACATGGTAGCCTTTTTTGTCAATTTGCTCAGAACCTGGGGAGGAAAGGATGGTATTATTTATTGGGCCCCCTCAAAAACCCCAACACATCCCGCCCCGGTAATCTGGCTGATCAAGAGGCCAACTATGGGGAAAAGAGGGAAATTCCAGAAAAGGGTCCTCTATGTGTCTCCACCAGCATCACATACCAGGCCTCCTTCTGTATACATTGCCCAAGAAATGGCTGAAAATCCATCCCTTATCCTTGGAGACACCCACCCTACAAGAGACATGTCCAGAAAAGTAAAAATCGCCCCAGAGCCCACTCCTCATTCTCTGTGGGATTACCTAAGCTTTATCATACTTCCCATAGAGGCCAAATTAAGTGTTTATAACAGCTGCTACTTGAGAGACTGGCAGCCATCCTCATGACAAGGGAAAAGTACAAAAGGCTACAAGACAAGGCTACCTGTACACATCCAGTCAGGAACAGCTATAAACAAGGCTAAGACAAAACCCACAATCCTCTGAAATAAGCATTCTCCACCAAAAGCATCAGACTGCATCTGTAGCACTACTCAAGATCAAGACATTGCACAGTTCACCCGCTTGGCAAGAAGGCACTGAAGAGGCTTCAGCAAGGTTGAGAGAGAGCGAGTGTACCCAAAACCACACTGCGGTGGGTGGGCCCCATCCTCCAAACTGCATGCTTCCCCCACACCCTCATCAACCATCAGAAATGGGAAAAGTTGAAAAGACGCCCACTCACGTGCTCTTTCATCTCCTTAGGCATGGTTTTTGACATCATGAGGCAGCAGAGGAGGGCGACGAGAATGAAGTAAAGCGCGTACATGAAGCGGGTGCTCCGGGACTGTCGGAACTTGGGGCAGCAGCCGCAGCACAGGGTGCAGCCAGCAGACCCACAGCAGCAGGCCAACTAGAAAAGGAACACAGAACATCCTCTTAAAGCCACTACTTTACAAACCTATTAATCCCAGACCTCTGCTGCAGGTTGACCTTTCAAAGCTACCATTCTTCGAGGCATCCTGCCCATAAAACATGCAGGAACAGTTTAGTGTGTGAACAAGCTTTCACCAGAACTGGTCTGATATTGTCTTTAATGATAAGCATTACAGCTTGGGAGATGCCCAATAATCAAACAGAAAAGGCACAGCTCACCTGAAGCACTGTAATCACTTCTCTTAGACAAAGATTTCTGGGATCGGTGAAGAACAAGAGAAAAAGCCGAGAACTAGAAAAAGGACAAAATGAGGCGGGAAAAACGTGAAAAACAAGAAGTTGGGCCCAAGAAAGGGACCTGTCAAAATCCCTGAGCCTAAGAATGAATTGTACAAACACATGGGGACATGTGTCCCCATGGGGGATGGGAAAGGCTATGTATGGTCACATCCATCCACCTTTGTGGGAGACGATGGGAGTGTGTAACTGAAGCTCAAGGGGAACAGGCGCCTCCTGAGATGCACTGTTGACCAGAGCATCATAATGGTAAGCTTTTAGGCTAACGAGTGGGGCATGATTGGGCTTTACTGGTCAATGCAACTGGACATAACTTGGGAATATTAAATAAAATAGGGATTAAGTTTCCAAATTTGGGTCTGTTGTTAATTTTTTTTTTAAGATTTTACTTTTTTAGAGTAGTTTTAGGTTTACAATAAAATCGAGAAGGCACAGAGATTTCCCATATACCTTCTACTCCTACACATGCGTAGTCTCTCCCATTACCAATATCATTCACCAGAATGGTACATTTTTTCTTTTACCAAGGATGAACCTACACTGACACATCATAATCCATGGTTTTACCCTTTTATTGGCACGTAAAATTCCATGGTTTGACCTAAGGGTTCACATTTGCTGCTGTATACTCATTGGGTTTGGAAAAATGTATAATGACATATATTCATCACTATAATATCCTACGGAGTGTTTTCACTGCCCTAAAAGGAAACTAGATCTTTAGGACAGCGTAAGGCAATAGAATACAGTGCTGTTAAAAGCTCAGGCTCAAAGTCAGCCTGCCTGGGTTTCGGGCCTGGCTCTGCCCCCTATTAGTTATGAACCCTGGGCAAGTTATTTACCCTTTTAAGACTCAGACTCCTCGTTTAGTAACGTGAGGATGGTAACAGTACTTATGCTTATGCTCTGGTCTCTTGGACAATCTAATCAGACACACATGGTGTTAGGGAGGGATTTCTGTTTAGCAAATAGGGTATTCTACAAAAGAGATTACCGTAAACTGCAAACAACCAAATCTACATGCATTAACTCTATACTCTATATAAAACCTAACATCTAAAAATTCAATCTCTTGATAATGATTTGGAAGGAAGTTCAGGACTTTGCATGGCTTCAAAGCAAGCATCAATTAGAAGGTCACACTATAAACATCACCTACAATGAGAAGAGATCCTGGGTATACAGGTATAAGACAACAGGTTGTAATCACAATGGTGGTATGACAGATGTTCGAAACATAGACATTTCCCAAGTTATTTCACCTACATCATGAAACTGCTATTGTTTGAGTCCTTTGACACTCTGTACTATTTCATTACTTAAAATTTTTGCAAACATACTCTCTCCATCTTACTTTCAGTTTTCCAAGCCATCTTCAACAGACTCATCTTGCCTCATATGACTAGGCCACTGCTTTGTAAGATAAGCTATTCTATGAGGCTAAGCTAACAGATCACACAAGTGGGATCCTAACACTATGTATGTGTGGTGTTATAGGCCCACCTTCCTTTACAACTCTCTCCCTCTCTCTCCACCGGCTCCCCACTAGCTTAGCTGGCTTTTCTCTGGGCCCTGCATCCCTCCTCCTCTGCCTCCCAAATTCCTTCCCAACTGCCTCCTCTTTCACTGGTTGCCAACTCTTTAAGCTCTACAGTCTTAGATAACCAGTCTTATTACATTTGAAATTCAAACGTGATAAACAAAATATTTATCCTATTTGGAAAAATAAATATTTTAGAAGAAGTTGATGTTTCCCATGATAGAACTTCCCCACAGCAGAATCAACATTTAAACTTAACTGTCTCCACAGAGGGGAAAATGAACAGATAACATTCATAATGTGAGACTAATTGGTCATTTAAAGAAGACAAATAGTGACAGAGGGATGTGATTATGGAAAATGTAAAAAGAAAATCATACTGGTTCAATCCTATTCTATCATTAAAGTCATGTATCATTGTATGGATCTGATTTTTTAAGCTTTCCTTATTTTTCACTTTACTTACTGCTATGGTATTAAAAAACATATGCGTGTGTGTATATATACATATATATGTGTATATATACATACACACATGCCCAATATTAGAATCTAATAGCCGGTCTCTACTAGCCTAAAAGTTATTTATCAAAGCAAACTACGCCAATAACCAACGGTACATTACCTTAAACTAAACATTGATATATACACCAACTGAAAATTCAAACCAGCATCCAAAGAAATGTTACGTTAGCCCTCAAGGAAAATCTCATAGTCCTCTTGACTTGCTGTTTCTTTCTGGAAGGGAATAATTTAGAATAAAATGGGTTTACATCCAGCCCTGCCACTTACGGCTTTATTACTCTGAGCATGTCACTCCGGATCTTCACCTTCAAAACTAGAAAAATCAACTCCTGGTCAGCCTAACTTCCAGGGCTGTCACAAGCTTGCAGAATTGTCTTTGTCGTGTTACCCCTGGCTCCAAAGGACCTAAAGCTTTTACTGAATAAATCAGGATATAAACAACAAATAAATGTAAGATGTACAACACCAAGAGTGAATCCTATTAAACTACGGACTTTGGATGATAATGATGTGTCAATGCAGGTTCATCGATTGTAACAAATGTACCACTCTGCTGGGGAGTGTGGATAATGGGGGAGGCTGTGCATGTGCAGGGGCAGGGAGTATATGAGAAATCTCTGTACCTTCCTCTCATTTTTGCTGTGAACCTAAAACTGCTCTAAAAAATAGTCTATTAAAAAAAAAACCAACATATGAATAAATGGATGCTGAATGAATAATATATTGTAAAGTCATAATTGCAACACTCCTCAAATGAAAGGGCTGGCAATCCACTCCACGCGGCCAAGTGCACAAGTCATGTGTTGCACCCTGAATTTCTCACACCAGCATTATATCACAGAGTATCAAGGCTTTAGTTTGTAGATACCGCACACTCTCCTTTTCCTTATAATAATAAGAAATTATTACACATTCTAGAGGAACCCAAGACAATCTCTTTAGAGGGCAATGCTTGCAATTCTAGAAGTTCACCCTGCAGGTACACTTGCACAAGGGCACAGAGATTTAGGTATAAGGTTGTTCATTAGGGCCAGCCCCGTGGCTTAGCGGTTAAGTGTGTGCACTCCACTGCTGGCAGCCCGGGTTCGGATCCCGGGCACGCACTGACGCACCACTTCTCTGGCCATGCTGAGGCCGAGTCCCACATACAGCAAATAGAAGGGTGTGCAACTATGACATACAACTATCTACTGGGGCTTTGGGGGGAAAAATAAATAAATAAAGTTTAAGGTTGTTCATTAAAATCATGGAAACAGTCTTATTCTCCAGCTACACAGGGATTGGATAAATGAATTATGGACTATCCATATAACAGGATATAGTTAAAAAAAAAAAAAAATAAGTCAGTGTTATGGGCTGATTTGTCCCCCCTCCCACCTCCCAAAATTCATATGTTGAAGTCCTAACCTCCTGAAAATTCCCTAACCATAGACTGTGATTGTATTTGGAAATATGGTCCTTAAAGAGGTAATTAACATTAAATAAGGTCACTGGGTTGGGCCCTAATCCAATATGATTGGTGTCCTTGTAAGGTGAGGAGATTGGGACACAGACACACACGGAAGGAAGACCACGTGAAGACACAGGGAGAAGATGGCCATCAACAAGCCAAGGAGAGAGGCCTCAAAAGCGACCAATCCTTCTGACTCCTCGATCTCGGACTTCCAGTCTCCAGAAATGCGAGAAATTGAATTTCTGTTGTTTAAGCCACCCAGTCTGTGGTATTTCGTTATGACAGCCCCAGCAAACCAACACAGTCTATGCCAATATTTTATATTTGTGCATCTCTGTATGTGGGGCGTACGTGTGCATACACGAAGACCACTAACACTGATTACTTGTAGAGTGGGCCTAGATGTGGAGACAAAAAAAAAGACACCTACTTCTCACCCTTCTGCCCTCCTGTTTAGGTTACCATGTGCATGTATGACTCTTATGACTAAAAAAAAGAAAAGAAAACTGACTATTTAAGAAAAGAAACTAAGTTTGAAGACATTGATATAAAAGCATTTGCAAATATGGCATTGACTTATGTGCTTTTTTTCTTTCTGAAGAACCTTCCCTTCCCCAAAACATACCAAAAAAGAAAACTTTCAAAGAGCCCTGCACACCCTCTAACTTCTTTTGAAAAAGCAAAGTATGAATAGCAAAGGCTTTTCTAAATAGAAGGTGCTTTGTCCTCCCAGGGCAGAGTCTAAAGGAAAAGGGTCAGCCAGCTGCTACCTGGAGCTGGGACTCCCCCGAAGCATTACTGCTCTTCTCCTACTGCTCTTCTCCTAAGGACCACATACACACACACACACACACACACACACACACACACTCTAAATAAAATACCAGTCTCTCTCCCTGTCCTCCCCACTGGCCTTGGGCACAGACAGCTCTTCTAACGACTGATCCTCAGCATGTGAAGAAATGATCACAGAAACGTGAGCTAGGACTGGTAGTAACTTCCGGGTTCTTCTTTTCTTAAATTAGAAAGCACAATTCTTTTATTACCTAGAATTCCCAGTCGGCAACAACATCAACAGGAAACAGCAAGAATTAGGAAGAAAGCCAAATACATGTTACAGAATGAGAGAGCGCATGCACACACGCGCGCACACACACGCACACCCCATGAATCTTACTCATAAGAGTCCCTCTCTCCCTCCCTCGAGTCTTCTTTTCACAGTTCCTCCAGGCTTGCTTAAGCCCACAGCGACCAGGAGGGACAGTGGTGGGAAGAGGACAGGTCTGAGAACCAGAGGGCCTGGACTCCCAGTCCGTGCGGCTCTGGTCTCGGTTTTCCTCCCCTGTAAACTGAAGGAGCCCAGGTAGATGAGAGGAGGTAGGTAAATAGGTCTCATCTCGCTTTCAGCTCACTCAGCTCACGGGCAGCGGCAGCCTGGAATGCCGTGTGGGGGCGGGTTCTAAGGCTGAATGTCTCA